CTTTCCTGTCCTGCGTCTGCACTCTGACAGAGGTGATGAGTTCTCCTCTGACCTCTTGGCAGCCTACTGTGCGGAGCACGGCATCACCCAGTCGTTCACGCTTCCGGCCTCTCCACAGCAGAATGGGGTTGCTGAGCGCCGCATTGGCTTAGTCATGGAGGTCGCTCGTACCTCCATGATCCATGCGGCTGCCCCCCATTTCCTGTGGCCGTTTGCGGTCCGGTACGCCACGCATCAGCTCAACCTCTGGCCCCGTGTCTCCTTGCCGGAGACCTCGCCCACACTGCTGTGGACGGGGAAGGTTGGCGATGCGTCGCGTTTCCGGGTCTGGGGTGCTCGTGCATTTGTCCGCGATACCACCGCGGACAAGCTCTCCGCCCGCGCTGTTCCCTGTGTCTTCCTTGGCTTTGTCCCTGACGCGCCTGGTTGGCAGTTTTACCACCCCACCTCGCGCCGTGTCTTTGCGTCTCAGGACGTCACGTTCGACGAGTCGGTTCCCTTTTACCGTCTCTTCCCCTACCGCACTGCCCCGCTCCCCCCCCCGCCGCTCTTCCTCGCTCCAGGTGCTCCCCAGGTAGACCCCCTCCCCGCTCCAGGTCCTGCTCCTTCAGGTGTGTCTCAGGTAGACCCTCCTCCCTTGACTGCGCCGGTTGAGGTCACTGGTGACTCAGGTCCTACTGAGGGTGGTCCTGCTCGGGGTGCTACTTCTGGGGGTGCTGAGCCTTGGGGTGCGGAGCCTGGGGGTGCTGAGCCTGCGGGTGCGGAGCTTGAGGGTGTGGAGCTTGGTGGTGCTGAGCCTGAGTGTGAGGGGTCTGGGGGTGCTGAGCTTGGCGGTACTGACGCTGGAGGTTCTGGAGCTACTGAGGGTGCTGGCGCTGGAGGTTCGGGAGCTGCTGGAGGGCCTAGTACTGGTGGCGCTGGAGCTGGAGGTTCTGGAGCTGCTGAGGGTGCTCGCGCTGGAGGTTCTGGAGCCGCTGGAGGTACTGGTGCTGAGGGTACTGACACCGGAGGTTCTGGAGCCGTTGGGGGTGCGGGCGCTGAGGGTTCTGAGTCTGCTGTTGCGCGGTCTCCTTGGAGTAGCCGCCTTCGTCCACGTGTGCCTCTCACCCCACAGCAGCTGCAGGACTGGTACGGTCGCCGTCAGCGTCGCGCTGCTGGAGCTAGGAGTGGTGCTGGTCCTTTGTCTACTGGAGGTGCTGGAGTCGCTGGTTCTGGAGGTGCTCGTACTGGAGACACTGAGGCTGGAGACCCTGGGACTGGAGGTGCTGGCTCTGGGGGTGCTGCTGCTGGAGACACTGAGGCTGGAGACCCTGGGGCTGGAGACCCTGGGACTGGAGGTGCTGGTTCTGGGGGTGCTGCTGCTGGAGACACAGAGGTTGGAGACCCTGGGACTGGAGGTGTCGGCTCTGGGACTGGAGCTTCTGGAGCTGCTGGAGGTACTGGAGCTGCTGGAGGTACTGGAGCTGCTGGAGGCACTCGAGCTGCTGGAGCTGCCGCTCCTGGTGCAGCTGCGCCGACACGACGGTTCTTCGCTCCGCCGTCTCCGTCGTCTCTGCCGCCGTCTGACTCTGTTCTTCGTCAGGTTCTTACCCTCCCGTCGTCTACTGGTCTTCCGTTACAGCCTGGCTTACCGCTGCCTGCTCCTTCTCCTTACACTGTGCAGACTGGTAGTCCTGCTGAGCGTCGTGAGCCTGCGTCGCGTCTTGTTTCGCCTATTCGTCCTAGTCGTACCGGTCGTCGTGTTCCTCGTTCGCGTCAGCCGGCTGTCCCCAGCGCACACCTCGTCGTCCGTCCTCTGCTCCGCAGCCTGTTCCTCTGCCGTCTCCTCCTGCGTCCTCTTTGCCTGACGTTCCGGACCCTGCGTCTGACCGGTTTCATGCTTAGCACCTTACTGTCACGCGTCTACTAGCCACAGTTGTCACTGACCCGTCGTTTGAGTCTGCTGCTACGTCTGCTCTTGTCGCTGAGCTTGTTGACTTTGCTGCTGCCTGTCGTCTAGACTTCGCTGCCAGTCTTGTTACTGAGTCTGAGTCTGTCTGTCCTCCGTCCGTCGGGGGTGAGTGTGCTCTTAGCACGGACGTCCTTGAGGACAGGCACGAGGACCTTGAGTGTCTTGCAGCCGCTGCGCCTCATCTCGTTGCCATGCTGCTTGCCCCTGAGGGAGACCTGGATGCACCAGACATCCCGACCCCGCGCTCTTACGCTGAGGCGATCGCGGGTGAGTACTCCTCTCAGTGGCAGACAGCCATGGACGCAGAGATGGCATCCTGGAAGTCCACTGGCACTTACGTCGACGAGGTTCCCCCTCCTGGGGCGAACATCGTCAGTGGCATGTGGATTTTCAGGGTGAAGCGGCCGCCAGGTTCTCCGCCTGTCTTCAAGGCTCGTTACGTTGCTCGAGGCTTCAGTCAGTGAGAGGGAGTTGACTTCTTCCAGACCTTCTCCCCCACCCCGAAGATGACCACTCTTCGGGTGCTGTTGCACGTTGCCGCTCACCGTGACTACGAGCTTCACTCTCTTGACTTCAGCACAGCTTTCTTGCAGGGCAGCCTGCACGAGGAGATCTGGCTGCGCCGCCCCCCGGGCTTCACTGGGTCGTTCCCTCCTGGTACCCAGTGGAGCCTCCGGCGGCCGGTCTACGGTCTCCGCCAGGCGCCACGTGAGTGGCACGACACACTGAGGACTACGCTTGCGGCTCTTGGGTTCGTGCCTTCTACTGCTGACCCGTCGCGTTTTCTGCGCACCGACACTTCACTGCCGCCGTTCTACATCCTCGTGTACGTCGACGACTTGGTTTTTGCCACTGCTGACACTGAGGCTCTCGCCCACGTGAAGTCGGAGCTGCAGAAGAGACATACGTGCACAGACTTGGGTGAGCTGCGCAGCTACCTTGGCTTGCAGATCACCCGGGACAGAGCACGCCGCACCATCACCTTGACTCAGTCACACATGGTGCAGCAGGTCCTTCAGCGCTTCGGCTTCACCTGGTCTTCAGCACAGGCCACTCCTCTGGCTACAGGTCACACGCTCTCAGCTCCACCTTCGGACGAGTCCGTAGAGCCGAGTGGTCCTTACCCAGAGCTAGTCGGCTGCCTCATGTACCTGATGACTTGCACTCGACCTGACCTCGCGTACCCTCTTGGTCTTCTGGCTCGCTACGTGGCTCCTGGTCGGCACCGACCTGAGCACATGGCTGCTGCTAAGAGGGTACTGCGCTACTTGTGCAGCACATCAGGCATGGGGCTAGTGCTTGGAGGGACGAGCCCAGTTGTCCTCACTGGGCACTCAGACGCTTCTTGGGTTGACGACCAGGCTACTCAGCGGTCGTCACAGGGTTACACCTTCAGCCTTGGCTCTGGTTCAGTTTCGTGGCGTTCTACACGCTCGTCTTCAGTTCTCAGCTCCAGTTGTGAGGCTGAGATCTACGCCACAGCCATGGCTGCACAGGAGTTACGCTGGCTCACCTACCTGCTGACTGACTTGGGAGAGCAGCCTCGTTCTCCTCCAGTGCTGTACGTCGACAACAAGGCCGCCATTGCCTTGTGTGAGGAGCACAGATTGGAGCACAGAACGAAGCACATTGCTCTGCGTTACTTCCTGGCTCGAGAGTTGCAGCAGCGAGGCCAGCTTCGTCTTCGCCACGTGGCCACTCGGGCCAACACTGCTGATATATTCACCAAGGCACTTCCGTCTGGTGATCATCAGCGCTTTTGTACTCTTTTGGGCCTTGTGCCTACGTTTCCACACTTGCTGTAGTCTCTGCTTGTACTGTGATCTATATATATATATATATATATGCATGCTGGCTCTTGCTAGGTAGCCATCACTGTACTGTTATTGCTGCATATATATCTCTGCATGTGAACTGGCCCTGTGGCCCTTTGCTTGTGCTCGGAATGCGTGGTGACGTTGTGATCCACCCTGAGCTTGTTTTGCTTCTCTTGACTGGTCGTGTGACCCCTTGTTCTCCCCCACTTTGCCTATGGGGGTGTGTCAAACTATATGTACTGCATATTGTCTAGGCTGTAGTGGGGTAGCCCATATGGGGTACAACCCAATTAGGGTTTACTACTTGTACTCCTGCATCCTGTTAGTTCATCCATTCCTGCTGCTAGATTCTAACAGCGTCCGGCGTAGCTCGGCGTTTTCCTCCTTCAGTGTTGTCACTTCCGCTTGCAGCGATTCCATGCCCCTCGCCATTTCTGCCACTTGCGCCATCAGTCGGTTAACAGCCTCCTGATCCATGTTTCTAGCACTACGTCTGGTGGGCAGTTGGGTACCCGTGGCCGCCCGGCAAGTGAAAACACGAACTATCGGAGTCGGGCAGGGTTGAGTTAACAACCTCTGCAGCCAACCGTCGTGTAGTCACTAAACCAACCACACCCTATGCCACCAAACTACCCTTGAAAAGCGGGGTGAACTAGGAAAGTAGCTCTGATACCAGGTGTTATGAGTTGTAAAAGAGAGTGCGCAGGTAAACGAATAACGAGACTGTGACTGAATGAATCTGAGAATACAATGAATGCGAGAACTAATGTAGGCTAGCCTAGCTAGGAGGAAACCTCGGACGAGCGAGGTTGGGTGCAGGTTTGGCGATGGAAATGCCGAAGGCGACGCGAGGAGCTTCGGCAGCGTGGAAATCGCCCGAACGTGCGAACTCCGAAAATCGGGTTGTACGCGCAGCAGTCAACCCCGATAAGGAATTCGAGAAAATTCCTTACACTAGGACAGGAGAGGGTCAATCGTCTGCATCACTGGCTTGTTTGATGAGGACTGCTGCTTCCATCCCCCCTGACTTAACATGACATTCTTATGTAGCTTGTTGAGCTGAATACAAAAATAAAAAATACAAGTCAAATGGTGTACTGGTACTAGTGGTACATGTTCCACCCAGTCTGCTATCTGCTCACTCAATGGCCATTAGGGTTGGAAACAGCATTGAAAACACTTGATCTGCAAATACAACACAAAGAGGCAGCTATGCAGCACCAAGGTGTGATTTACGCTACGTGCACGACAGCGAGCATGAGAGGCAGGGAGACGGCACAGGAGGCGGTGAGGAAGGCTGCTTTGGCGGGCATGGAGAGGTGCGGGCTGAGGAGGAACATGAGGGAGGAGGCGGCACTGGTCCACATCTTCATGTGCGCAAACGAGGCGTCCTGTAACGAGGGAGCAGGAAGGGCGGGATGCGGTGAGAAGAAAAGGGTGGCATGGGGTGGGTAATGACAGCGAATGGATGGAAAGGAGACAATGGGTCAAGGAAACGGGGAGGGTGGGGTATGTGGGGAGGGGCAGTCAGTGATGCATTGTGGGCAATGGAAGGGAACAGGCAGGGGCAAAGATACAGATGAAAGGAAGCGTGGGTGTTGTTGTTGTTGGTGGGAGATGGGTGGCAGTGGGAGATGGGTGTGGGTGTGAGGCCCACCCACCATGTCTCGAGGGAAGACGAGCGGCAGCAGTGCGTTGATCTGTGACTGGAAGGCGGCATCCCCCATCCCCCACAGCACTGCCTGCACCAGCACCACTGTGAACGCCACCCACGAGGGAGCAGTGCTGGGACGGACAGGAGGGTGAGAGGAGGGAGGCGAAGAAGGGAGGGCAGGTGGGAACAACGGACAAGGACATGTGAGCGCAGCGCGGGAGAATGGTCACACTGGGGAAGGGCAGTTGGATAGGGGTGGCTTTAACCACGTTCCAATGCAGCACCTGGAACACCATGGAAAATTCCAATGCGCGAGAAGGTACGGCAAGATATGGCAGTAAAGAAACGGTACGGTTGTGATACTTGATACATGGTGTGGCATGGAGCGGCACTGACAAGGGCGTGAAGAGCATGAGACAGAGCAGCACTGCGATCTGGCAGGCAGCACCAACGAGCAGCGTGGCGAGGATGGAGTGCAGCCCCGATGACAGGCGCGCCGCTGCCATGCACGCCTGGGCGGGGCGGAGTGCGGGGGAGAGGAGGGAGGAAGAAGGGATGGTGTGTGTGTGGTGATGCTCTCTGCTGCAGGTGAGCATGATGCCATGTTAAGGCAGAGAGCACACAGAGCGCAGGAGTGATGATACAGCAGGGGGACATTGATATGGCAGCAAGCAGGGGAGCAGGCAGCTCACGAGGCTGTTGGCGACGCCAAACACGGACATGACCCCCCCGATCCATGCCACTCCCAGCGCTGGCCGCACCACGTACAGCGTGAAGTCCGCCCTGATGGATTTGGAGAGGGAGGGAAACAGGACGTGGGGAGGAAGTGGGGAAGCGTGGGCGGAGGTGGATGCACTATGAGACAGGAAGTGACGGAGTGAGAGGAGGACGCTGCATGAGAGGCAACAGAGAAGCCCGCATTGGGCAAAGGTGGGGTAGTGAGAACGCTATTGGCAGGGCGTGTCAGGGCGTGAGAGGGCGTGGCAGGGCATGGCAGAAAGTGGCAGGGCGGAATGGGAAGGGGCATGGGGCGGGGACGCACGCAACGAAGGCAGACTGCAGGCCGATGTACAGCAGCAGAGGCAGCAGTAGCTGCAGCCGCCGCTCCCCCACCAGCTCCCACGCGCTGCGCCCCCCTTTTACCCTGCTGCCCGCACCGTCCCCTGCCCCTCCTGCCGGCCCTGACTCCTCCACCGCCCCCCACTCCTCTGATCGCCCTGCCACCACTTCGCTTCCCAGCAAAGCCTTCCCTTCCCCCTCGTCCCCCCTCTCACCCCCCTCCTCCTCGTCTTCCCCCGTAGTGACGCCTATCCCTTCCCCAACCAGCGCACCATCCACAAGAGGCGCAGGCGCGGGGCAGCAGAGGGGGTGGTCCTCCGAGAGGTCCGTCAGCCGCCACGTCAGCGCCGCGGCCAGCGCGAGGAACAGCAGGAACGTGACTATCAGCACTGTGACTGTAGCGGGAGGTAGACTCTCAGGGGAAGGAGCAGCGGGAGTAGCAAGCGCAGAGGGCGCAGAGGGCGCGGAGGGCGCGGGGGGGAAGAGGAGAGCCATGAGCTGGCAGACGAGGAACGTGACAACGTTGCCCACTACCTGGTTCGCCGCGAAGATTCCCCAAAAGATTCCGCTGAACTCCGCGATCGCCGCCTGCTCCGCCACGCCCGCGGCGGCGGCGTGTCCGCGCGCCAGCATGACGCTGTACAGCCCCTGCGCCACCCACAGCACGGACGCGCTCGCGCCCAGGTACCCCGCGCACAGCAGCAGCAGCCAGCTGCGCGCTGACGGGGATGCGGGGGGAACGGGAGGGGGGCAAGGGAGGGGGAAGGGCGGAGAGGGTTGGGGTAAGGGGACAAGCCACGTCACATGGAGGATGCAAGTCAGCGCATCCTCTTGCACCCGCAGGAGGCGCGCGTAGAGGAACCAGGAGCATCCGATGCTGCGGAGGCTCTTGAAGACTCCTCGTGGGCGATTTCAGCCTCGCGAGCGCGACCCGGGCGATGGCGGTACCTGGAGTCGACGGCGTTGGCGGCGATGTACGCGCAGTACCCCGACATGCCCACCAGCATCGCGCCCTGCGGCCGCAAGTAACGGATCACGGCGGGCGCGATCGGCGCGAACACGACGATCCCGCCGTAGATCACGGCGAGGGACACGGCGCCCATGCCGGCGCGCGGGTGCAGCGACGTCTCGAGGTTCTGAATGGCGCTGTACGCCGCGAAGAGCGCGAGGAACGCCGCGCCCAGCACCACCAGGTCCCGCCGGAACGGCGTCCATGCTGCTCCGCCGCCGCCGCCGCCGCTGCTGCCGGGATCTGCGCGGCTTTCTTCGGACCCCCCTGCAACGCGTGAGTTGACGGGAGGGCATGCATCATTGTATGGAGTCCCTAACCGCGTGCGATGATGCAAGTCCGTGGAGGACGCAGCGAAGGGTGCGGCTGCGTCTGGATCGATAGGAAGCGAGTCCGACATGGTCAGCAGATTATGGCAGTCAACGAAAATCTATGCCCGCACTTGGCGGGAGTCATAGCCGTGCGAATTTCGGAGCAATAACTACCAAAGATGTTAGCGCGGCTGCTGCTTTGTGCATCCGATCTTGAAATTGCACCTCAGTTTTTTTTTGTTTAAAGCCCGAGTCTAGAATGGCAAGGGTTCATAAATACTGAACTTGAAACTGGTTGGGCGAAGTGTGACGAAAGCAAAGTTCGCCTGAAACAGTTGGCGAAAGGGGAATGCCCAAAAGTGTTTCGCACTGTACGATGTTCTACTTCAAGAATCTTGAAGGAGCACAAACGACAAAGCAAGCGTCGGCCCGTTGTTCCTTCTGCGATCACACCACGCGACTCAAAAAAGCACAGCATCCAGCCCATTGATACCCATACTCAACAACCTAAAATGCACTCGACATGCGTCACCTACCACCCGAATTTCAGCGTAGCTCTACCTACTTGATCAGAGGCTATGACGATTACGGAGCGTCACGTTCACCAGGTTTAGACAACACTGGGACGGTTACACATTGTTCCTATCTGGCGTCATCAGGCCTCAACCACATTAGGCCACTCCTAGAACGTTACTGGCCAGGGTATAGGACGGAAGAACGTTCCTCATAAGCAGCCAATAGTCGCGGAGTCGCTCAACTCATGTTGAGGTCTCAAAATAATAACGTCACAACGCATGGGCTTTTGTTTCGGCAACACGATTGAGAATGGTAGTGTAAACAGAGACGATCAGCGGAAAGCCTCTCACCTTAGACACACCAGCAAGGAACACGGTGACGGAGACTGGAAGACGCGGAGGGGAAGCGTGACCGGATAGGGTTGGCTAGGAAGGCACGGACGGGAACGCGCGGACGGGAGGGGCACGCGAGGGAACTCCAGGAAGGGAACGAACGGACGGGAGAGGAGAGAGAGCGAAGGCGTGGACGAGAAGGAATCGCATTGCGGAAGGCGAGGACGGCAAGGAATCTCAGCGCGGAAGGCGCTGACGGGAAGGAATCGCAGCGCGTAAGGTGCGGACGGGAAGCAATAGCAGCGCGGAAGGCGCGGACGGGAAGCACGAGCAGCGCGGAAGGCGCGGACGCGAAGCAAGAGCACCGCGGAGGGCGCTGACGGGAAGCAAGAGCAGCGCGGAACGCGCGGACGCGAAAGCAATAGCTGCGCGGAAGGCGCTGACAAGAAGCAAGAGCAGCGCGGAAGGCGCGGACGCGGAGCAAGAGCAACGCGGAAGGCGCGGACGGGAAGGAACCGCGTTGCGGAAGGTGCGGAGAAGGAAGGCAGCGCGGCGGTGGAAGGCGCGGACTGGAAGGAATTGCGGAGAGGAAGGCGCGGACGGGAAGGTGCACCAAACTGCCTGTCGTGACCTCGGAAACCGCGGTGCAAGAGTGCGGCCTGGTGGCAAACAGCACTGTCCACCCTGGACGTAATGCAAGTATCACATGGACGCACGCTCATAACCCTCACATCAGATTTCCCCACTCCTCTACTCACAACCCAATGCGCAGACGGAAGGAATGCAATGTGCAGAAACCCCTTCACAATTCAAGCTATCCAACCTCAGATGTACCGAATGCACCACGTATGCCTCTCCTGGGAGCTCTACTCCTGTCCCCATTGTCATCGTGTCTTCGATGCACCCCCATTCCCCTCATCTCGTGACTGCCCCTCTCCTTACTCCCAACATGCACCATATTTTCAGTCCCAGTGCACCGTATCGCACGGACGGGAACACGCAGACAGAAAGTCGGCCACGTTGATCAAAGGACGGGAAGGCGCGTTCTGGAAGGCGCGGAAGATAAGGCTCGGAAGGAAATTGAAAGACGGGAACGCGCAGACGTGAAGGCGCGGACGGGAAGGCGCGTCGTTGATACTATGCGCTAACGAGAGGCACCCCCTTTCCACCAAATCAGGAAACATTCCGGTGAGAAAAAAAAAGGGAGAGGTATCAGCAGGGAGGAGCCAAGCTATGCTCAGTGCGATGGTATGAGAGGAGGATGTTTGGAGGCTGACCTCCCCAGGTGGGGAGGATATACTGCAATGAGCTGGGGGGGAGGGGAGACCTTGGGTATGAGGTGAGTGTGTGGGGGGTTGAACTCCCCCCACTGGGCTGGATTTGAGGAGAGGGGCAGGGGAGGCTAACCCCCCTTCAGTGAGTGGGTATGAGGTGAGTGTGTGGGGGGTTGTGCTCCCCCCACTGGGCTGGATTTGAGGAGAGGGGCAGGGGAGGCTAACCCCCCTTCAGTGAGTGGGTATGAGGTGAGTGTGTGGGGGGTTGTGCTCCCCCCACTGAGCTGGATTTGAGGAGAGGGGCAGGGGAGGCTAACCCCCCTTCAGTGAGTGGGTATGAGGTGAGTGTGTGGGGGGTTGTGCTCCCCCCACTGGGCTGGATTTGAGGAGAGGGGCAGGGGAGGCTAACCCCCTTCAGTGAGTGGGTATGAGGTGAGTGTGTGGGGGGTTGTGCTCCCCCCACAGGGCTGGATTTGAGGAGAGGGGCAGGGGAGGCTAACCCCCCTTCAGTGAGTGGGTATGAGGTGAGTGTGTGGGGGGTTGTGCTCCCCCCACTGAGCTGGATTTGAGGAGAGGGGCAGGGGAGGCTAACCCCCCTTCAGTGAGTGGGTATGAGGTGAGTGTGTGGGGGGTTGTGCTCCCCCCACTGAGCTGGATTTGAGGAGAGGGGCAGGGGAGGCTAACCCCCCTTCAGTGAGTGGGTATGAGGTGAGTGTGTGGGGGGTTGAACTCCCCCCACAGGGCTGGATTTGAGGAGAGGGGCAGGGGAGGCTAACCCCCCTTCAGTGAGTGGGTATGAGGTGAGTGTGTGGGGGGTTGTGCTCCCCCCACTGAGCTGGATTTGAGGAGAGGGGCAGGGGAGGCTAACCCCCCTTCAATGAGTGGGTATGAGGTGAATGTGTGGGGGGTTGTGCTCCCCCCACTGAGCTGGATTTGAGGAGAGGGGCAGGGGAGGCTAACCCCCTTCAGTGAGTGGGTATGAGGTGAGTGTGTGGGGGGTCTTGCCCCTTCATCCACATTGCTGTTACCATCTCGAACTCACCCTTCCTCTCTGAAACTGCACACACCGAATGCGTCGTTGCCACTCTCCCTCCCCTTCCCTACTGTTCGTCGCGCCCCATTCCCAGCCTGTGGGGGTTTTTCTCAATTGAGACCAAGGAGTGTGGTCGTTAGGCATCGAGACTCACTGCTCCATTTCCCCATCGCTCCTCTCTCCTGTACCCTTACCCACCTGTCACCACCTCTGCCCTGCCCCACCCCCACACCCCAGCAGGTTTCTCATCAACCTACTCCCAGCCTCTCACCTCATGCCCCCGTCCCTGCTGCCATCGCTTCAAGAACCCGCCCTATCACATTATTACTTCCCTTTGACAAATGCCCAAAGTATCCGGGTGCCAACATATCCGTTAGTGGGTCCAGATTATGTTGACTAAACCTAAATCCTGAAATGCACGTTTTTCTTCTTCTTCTTTCCTCCATTTTACCGTATGTTAGTTACGAGGTAGCCAATACGAGACGCAAATATCGGGGTTGAAATGTTAGAAATACGGTACGGTACAACTTCCCTTTACTTCAGGCTCTCCCTGAATGTATCCTACGACAAGCTAAATCTGTCTTGCCACATGCAAGTGCGTTGGATGATGGCAAGTATTCCAACTCTACCTTGCACAAGCAGAAGAACCCACACTAACTAAGGCAGGATTATAACAACACCAACAACTATCCCTAAAACACATATGGTACGGTACTGCGTGTTTCTGTGGCATCATTGGCCAATACTATAACAACAATACATCCTATACCGGGGATGGACAACCCTGTCAATGTCGCTGTATAAAAACATGTTGCTAATCCGGTGCACATTATCACTTTTCTTCTCAACGGACGGATGGAGAGTAGTGGGGATGCAGATGCATGTCGTGGGCCGTAAGTCCTGGGTGTGATGTGGGAATAACCCTGCAGGAAGGGGGGAAGTGGGTATAGGCCAAGAAGAGCATGCAAGGAAAGAAGGGAATGGGAGGAAAACAGCAACGAGACATGCAACAAACCAGCAGAGAGGGAACCCAGGTGAGTTGTAGACGGGCTAGGGGAGGCAGGGGCAGACATGGAAGAGTGATTTGCTCACAGTCAGAGCAAATGACAGAAACAGCAAAGGACAGGGTGAGCTAGATGACGGGGTGAGCTAGATGACAGGGTGAGCTAGATGACAGGGTGAGCTAGCTGACACGGTGAACAGGACACCACATGCTGCTCTGCTGCTGCCCCACACTTCCCCATGCCACTGATGCTGCCGTTCCCTACTGCCACCACCACTACTGCCTGCAGGAGCCATGTCGAGTGGAGCAGTGGGGGGACCCCCAGCAGCAGCAGCGGGGCGGGGAGCAACGGGGGAGAGAGCCCCCCCACCCCACTAAGCCGGCAGAGAGGCCGATCACCGCCCACCCGGCAGCTGGGCGGGCACGACGGTGAGAGTGAAGGCAGGGATGGCGGAAGTTGAGGCACCATAGGCATGTAGGGAGCAAAGCCCCCACTCCAACTCACACACCCACCCAGCACTGCCCTGCGTCCTGCATCCCCATCCTACTCCCTCACCTACAGGGAGGCACTCCACCCCCTTCATCTACCATTGCCTTCCAGCCCCCCGATACTGCACCCAACATTCCCATTCTGATTCCACACCCCCTTCCTCAAGAATGCGCCCCTTGGGCTCTGCTCTACTCCACACGCGATATTCTGGCGCAGGATCTTGCCAATGGAGCTCGCACTTTCCCCTCCAAAGTTGGTACCCAAATCAATCTTCTGCTAACCCCGCCCGCCTTCGCCTGCTGTGCCTTGCGCATGTCCCTCGGCTAGGGGTGAGGCACCTGGTGGGAAAGAAGGTACAATTTTAAGGGCAAGCAAGGGGCAGGCAAGGGGCAGGCAAGGGGCAGGCATGGGGCAGGCAAGAGGAAGCGAGAGAGGGGGGGAGTGATAGAGCGAGGCAGCGCGGACGCACGAGAGGGTTGGACAATTGCAACAAGGAGTGAGAGAGCAGCAGCAGCTGTCACAGCCGCAACACGTTGCTCACCATCATCCTGCTGGTAATCGTCGCCCCTCCATTAGGGCCTCGTCCTCCTGTAGCACAGCAGACGGGAGGAAGGGCATGCGTGGGTTCAAGCAGCAGGGGTGTTAGCAAACGTGCATGCACTGTCTGCTTGCCATCGTCCTCCAAGTAGTCGTCACTGTTGCCCTCCAGCATCGCTTTATCCTACTGCAGTGCACAGCAGATGGGAGCAAGGTCAGCAGGTTTATTTAGTGGAGCGAGGGAGCTAAGGCAGCCATCACCTGCACTCTCCTCAATGTCACTTTCCAGGTAGTCTTCTAAAGGCCTGGGTGAGAGGGCATTGTTGCGCTCCAGAAGACAGTGGGAGAAAAGGCAGTAGGGGGCGGGGTTGGCCAGAGAGGGGCGGTAGAGAATGTGTATCCAACATGTGGGTTGCCCTACAGTCACGTCCTTCTGGAAAAAGGGACAAGAGCGGGGGGGGATGAGTGGAGGTGGGAGTGTGAAAGTAGCGGCAGCCATGACGTGCCCACGCTGCTGGTGCTGAAGAGTGCGGAGGGGGCAAATGGCTCCACAATCCCATTCGCATTACCATACTCATGTCATTCCTACTCGTTAAAGTGATATTCGTTCCAAGCACACATACAGACAGCTGACCTGCAGGGTGGTAGAATAGCCAGCTAGGGCCAGGAAGCAGGCATTGCGAGAGAAGGGGGGGGGTGAAGGGCAAACCTTACCTTACCCATGAATATACTTGTTACGATAATACTTCTTACAGGCACATGAACCCGAAGAGTAGTGGAGTAGCCAGCTAGCGCCAGGCGGCAGGCAGCAAGAATGACCTCCCTGGCCTCCAGCTCGTGCTTGAGAGTGTAGGAGGGGGTGAAGGGCAGTTCGCACAACCATACTCGTCATAATCAAACTCAATGTGAGAAAGCCAGGAGGCCTTACCTGTGGCGTAGTGGAATACCCAGCTAAAGCCTTGACCTTAAACGCACCATCCTACTCCCTCACCTACAGGGAGGCACTCCAACCCCTTCATCTACCATTGCCTTTCAGCCCCCCAATACTGCACCCAACATTCCCATTCTAATTCCACACCCCCTTCCTCCCCCCATCATCCCCCCCTTCCCCCCCGCCCCCCATTCCCCTCCCATTTCCTCCCATCATGCTCTCCCCCAGGCTACGAGCAGGGTGCCGAACCACGTGTCAGTGAGGCACTGCTCCTGCCAGCTGGCATCTGTCCCGCCCGGCTGGCCATGCTCCTGGAGGGCGGCGGAGAGGGCGCGGGCGCGCCATGGGTTCCCCATGGCAGCTGGGCACACACACACACTTGAATTTCCAGTGGGAAGAGGGGTGTGGGGAGGGGAGAGGGGGTAGGTGGAAGGGGGAAGGGGCGGCAAAGGAGGGAAAGGAGGAGCGGGGTCAAGAGGGAAAGGAGGAGAGGGGCTGTGGGTGAAAGGAGGAGAGGGGCTTAGAGGAATCCTCTGAGGGAGGCAGAGCGGGGAGTGGCAATGGAAGCAGCGAGGGACGTGGCTCCTGGGGGCAGCATCTGGCGAGGGGAGTTTGGAAAGAGCTGAGGTGAGGGTGAGGGGGGCAGTGGGGGACAGGGGCCCAGGGTGGGGATGTAGCCCTACCCCTAGGATGATAGGATTGTGGAAGCTGGATGGAAGTAGTCACCAACCCTATCGCAAGGTGCACTATTGATGCCGCTTCACGCCGTGTGAGGGTGCACTGGGGTACGTCGGGTTGGGGCTGAGAAGGAAAGGAGGAGAGTGGTAGGGAAGGGCAGGAGGAGATGGGCTGAGGCGGAAAGGAGGAGAGGGGCTAGGAGGGATTGGACAACATGGGCAAAGGGGGGAGTGGCGAGAGAAGCAGTGGGGGAATAGAGGAGAGAAGCGTGGTGGGTCAGAGGAGAGAGGAGGCAGAGTGAAGCATGGAGAACAGCATGGAGGAAGCTGAGCAACAGATATGATAAAGAGGACTTTTGTATGGGACGTGTGTGAGCAATGGGAGTGAGTGGGGGGCAGGGAAGTGAGAGAGCAATGCAGTGTGTCAAGGAAGGTCATGGTTAAATAGGTAAGGGAGGAGAGGGCGAGAGATCAAAGCAATGGTGACTCGGGAATGTAGATCAAGCGGGAAAAGACGGGAACGCACGGATGGGAATTGGAGGGGCGGGTCGCGAGCCTAAGGGGGAGGGAGGGGCGAAAAGGGGGAAACAGAGGCACCGAGTCAGGGGGAGGGGGCAAGGGGCAAACGGACGAAGGGCAAGTGAGGGAGAGACGGGAATGGGATGGATGGGAGTAGGATAGAGGCAGCGCGGCGGTCAGGGGAAGGCAACGCGGCGGTCAGGGGCAGCAGCGCGTAGGGAGGGGGGAGCAGCGCGTAGGGGGGAGCAGCGCGTAGGGAGGGGGGAGCAGCGCGTAGGGAGGGGGAAGCTGCGCGTAGGGAGGGGTCGCAGCGCGTAGGGAGGGGGGAGCAGCGCGTAGGGAGAGGAGAGCAGCGCGTAGGGGGGAGCAGCGCGTAGGGAGGGGGGAGCAGCGCGTAGGGAGGGGGGAGCAGCGCGTAGGGGGGAGCAGCGCGTAGGGAGGGGGGAGCAGCGCGTAGGGAGGGGGAAGAGCGACGGGAGATGAGAGCGCGGCGGGAGTGAGAGAGCGACGGGAGTGAGAGCGCAAAGAAGTGAGAGAGCGACGGTAGAATGAGCGCGACGGGAGCGAGAGAGCGACGAGAGTGAGAGCGCGCCGGAAAGAGAGAGCGACGGGAGTGAGAGCGGGACGAGAGTGAGAGAGCGACGGGAGTGAGAGCGCGACCTGAGTGAGAGCGCGACGGGAGTGAGAGCGCGACGGGTGTGAGAGAGCGACGGGAGTGCGAGCGCGACAGGAAAGAGAGTGTGACGGGAGAGAGAGAACGACGGGAGTGACGACGACGGGAGTGAGGGCGGGCCTTGAGTGATTGCGGACCGGCATTGAGTGCGGGCTAGGATACCCTTCAGCGGCGACGAGTAAGTCTCACGGTGGCGATCAATCTGAGGGTCATGCCTTCCAAGCAATGTACGAGATCGGAGTTGTTATGCGCGAAAAAGTCGCCGGGAAGTTTCATCTTTATGTGCACCAAAAGTCTTAGCATACGGCAAGGAGATGGGCGCAACTATGCTGACTATTGACGAGAATATGGGCTATGGAGCCCACTATGCTACGAGTCTAGAAAGGTATTGTCGAGTTTCAAGTTCTGATAGTGTGAACAGTGATACTTGCCTTTGTTTGTTTCTGGCGAGGCTCGTCCGTGTTTTTGCTGTGGGGCATTTGGCCTTCTGGCCCACCAACTCCCTTCCCGGTGGGTAGCGAGAGATCAGCTTTCTGAACCTGGTTACCCTGTTCTTGACGAAAACAAGTTCAAGAATCTTGAAGTTGAACGTTTGCCATTCTAGACTCGGGCTTTAATAATCAAATAGTTTTACAGACGCTTTCAGCATTCAAGTATGCACTAAATATAAGATGTTACAGAACACTAGAATGTCCTAGAGCCTGTTGCTACTACTCAATAGGTGGAGAGATGCCACAATGGTTGTTGCTAGGACAAATCATCAAAGCATTAAGGTACCTGCAGAGCACCAAAGAAAGCATTAGTATTCAGACATACGGTAGGATGAAAGCAGTCGAATTACAGACACCAAAACGACTCACATGGATACAAGATTGTCTTGGCCTGAAAAGAGTGGCTGAAGGAGGCATGGCGACTGGTTGCTGAGGTATGACCATCCCCCCCCACCTCAGGGAGGACTGGCCAACCCTTAGAGTCGCTAAACACAAGGCATGCGGGAGCCCATCATAGACTGAATCTGCCGATACAGAGCTGCTGCAGTCAGCTCTGTACCGACAGAATCAGTCTGTCCGGCCCGGATCCGAGTGTCAGACAACCCCAAGGGTCCCTTAGCACCATGCCTTCTCATGCCTTCATGAAACAGGCCGCTCTCCAAAACCTCCAGGTTACCTGCAGGAGGACAAAAAAATAGTCAGTCCTCAGTCAGAGCATGCAAGAACCAAAAAAGCATTGGATTCAAGTGCCAAAAGGATAAAAATAGTACCTTGAGATACTTGAGATCCAGTACTGGATGTCAGTGATCGTTGAGCTTGTTGAGTGGTGATGTCTGTTGGAATTTTCCCATGTTGAAGAACCTGCAGGATGAAAACGGAAATGTTAGTAAAATGAGTCACTAACTCAAGCTGCCAAGAGGTTGACGCCTTACCTTCAGGGCCTTGATCCGCCTCATGCCTTAGGCCATCACTTCATACCAAATGTTTCTTACATCCACCTGGTTACCTGCAGGAGGACAAAAAGAGAGTCAGTCCTCAGCCAGAGCATGCAAGAACGAAGAATGCAAGTAAAAGGATACAAATAATACCTTGAGAGACTTGAGATCCTTGAGTATGTCAGAGATCGTTGAGCATGTTGAGTGGTGATGTCTGTTGCATTCGCCTCCAGGTTACCTGCCAGAGGACAAGACGAAGGTCAGTTTTCAGCCATAGTATGCAAGAATACAGCAAGTATTTATTCAAATAATGATATGATAGAAAAATAACGTTGAGGAACTTCAGATGCTTGACTGCTGAAAGTAGTGACTGTTGAGCACCTTGAGTGTACGTTGACATGTTGGCGGACCTGCGGGAAGAAAGCAAAAAGTTAGTTAATGTCCCACAAACTTGAATTGCCAAAAGATTGAGGTCATACCTTGGGGGCCTGGATCTTGGGATATGAAATCTTGGAATCTTGATTATAGAATCTTGGGATCTTTAAGTGTTGACCATCCTGAGAGGTCGGCGTCCATCAAAAGACTTGAGTGATGAGGAATCTGCAAAGCGAATCAAGGGACGAAAAGAAGGGGTGAATAAGTACAAGTGCCACTAGAATGTCCAGAGAAGCAAATCATGTCCGTGAACATGATGGATGAGAAAAGCAGCGGCATAAACGCAAGAGCGCTCACCACTAACATCACAAGAGCCATAATACCAAAAAAAATACCTGAAGGGACCTGAAAGACCTTACCAGAAAAGGGGGAATAGCTCTGATGGTGGAAATAGTGAGCGCTCAAGCATAAACGCCATGCAATGTAAGGCGAAAATGTGATTCACGGCTTGAAATAGCAGAACCATGGCAGGAAACAAGAGGAGAGCGGTACTTAGCTTTCATAAAGTCTTGAGGGGTTGAGAAGAGTTGGCCTCAGAGCTCAGAGACGAGTTGAAGAAGTCTTAAGGTTGGCTCCAAGTGTTCGCTTCACGACTTCAAAGTTGACTGGAAGTGTTGAAGCGCCTTGCAGCTCCGATGCGGTTGTTGAAGTTGACGAGCCTCTGCCAGTCAAAGGAGGGAGGAGGGGGGTTAAGTACAAGTCACACTGGAAGGTCCTCCAGACGGAAAAGGCAAGCATAAGCATGATGAATGGTATGTATGGATATGCAGATGCACGCAGCAAGAGCGATCACCACCATTGCAACAAGAACCAAATACCAAGAAAATACCAGAAGAACCTAGGACTCACCAGAAAAGGGTACCTCATAAAAAAAAACCTGTACCTTTTAAGGGGGATGGTTCATGGAGCAATTGTGGTAAGCGCTCAAGCATGATGAGCATGAAAAAACATGACAATGATGAGTAGAAATGAAGTTGAGCGGAACAAAGTGGGAATCGATACTTATCTGCACGAGGGTTTGCATGTCTTCAGTCTTGGTCGAAGCCTTCGCTTGGAAGTTGTCTTGAAAGTATTGGCTTGGAAGTTGTCTTGTTGTCTTGTCTCCCAGCGTTGCCTTCGAGCTCATCCACATAGCCTTTTATTGTTGAACGCCAGCCGTGTTGCCTGGTCTGCTCCCGGTTGATTACAAGCATCAGAGGAGTACCTGCCAGCAACAAGAAAAGAAGTCAGTTTAGTTTAAGTAACGAGAGGACGCCATTAAACGAGAAAAGCGACGAAACAGTGTGGAGGACGGGGGAATGTTTTCCAGCCAAAGCAAACACACCGCAGAGCTCAGACAGACCGACGCAGCTATACTTGACTTAGCGACGCTGACGCTAGACCGACCTAGAGAGAGTAACCCAGACCTAGGGGAGGAGACAGGGAGCTCTACGCGTGGCGCTTTGGCTGGAAAACAAATGAACAGCACGAACGAATTTTAAAACGGGGAAAAAACTCTCTGATAGTAGTGGAAGGAGCACTTAGCTGGAAAGTTGAACAAAAGGCTGGTGAAGAGCTCAGGATGGCGAAATCCCATGCACTTGAGAGCGAAGAAGGCTGGACAGTCGCGTTGTCAATCGTCGTGATGCATGCTGCAAAGCGAGGGCTGAACGCCTCGCAAAGTCGACGACCGTCTTCATCATGCCTCACTGCACAATGGAAATGTAATTTAGATCAGTACAGGTTATGTTGTGAAGCCACGAAATCAGTGAGCTCGGAAATATACACGAAATAGAAGATTGAAGCTTCATCTACCTTGAGCTGGAGTCGAGATGCTTAAGCAGCTTGCGGATCTCCAACGGCTTCCGACTTGCAACGACAGGAGCAGGTTGCAGTTTCAACCGACGGAGGTCCCTTGAACGAAAAGGCGAGGAACGCGGACAGAGGTTGAAGTCGCGGAGATTGAAAAGCACAACGGAGAGTGTTCAAATGCTAGAGAGATGATAAACTGCTGTTTTAAAGATGCGTGGCTAACCACAAGAAGCATCACCGACGAACCATTCCCACACGAAATCGGCACGGTTTCAAAATTCAAAGCCTCGACCGTTGGAATTGGCGGTGAATGAACGGCTGCTTGGGAACACCTAGGAGGGTACCACGTGACTATTGGCGGTGAAGTCTTGGAAACTAGTGAGGGAGAGGCTCAGGCTGAGCGGGAGTTGGATCTGAAAGCGGCTGTGTGTCAGGAAAATTGGCAGGAGCAAGGGTTTCATGATGGGATGGGATGGAATGGACCTCGGGGTTGGGCTGTTTGGCGAACATCGCGAAACTGGGAGAACCTAGATACCTCAGGGTCGCGAAATTGGTTTGGTTGGAGATCGAGAATCGTCGACAATAAGGAGGGGCTGTAACCTGTCGTCGCACAAGTCAAGCACGCTGCCAAGCGACGGTGTACGGCTTCGTCAACGAGCCCGAGAGGTGTAACAGAGCTTGGGCGACTGAAGCGACGACACAATGCGACCCTGAGGAATCTAGGCTGGCACCACTGATTCCACCAATGGTTCCACTCCTAACGGATCATGCAGATTCCTAAGCTGACCGATAGTCGGGTATTTTTCTGAATAGCTTCTCGTAAGCCAACCTAAGCGCTAGTAATTGACGATAGCTTCTGGTGATCAATAGGTACCTTCTGCCTGATTCACTACCCGACAGAGTCATGATGACGTCACAAGCCGATCAATCCGACCAAAAAACAGGCGTACCAGAGAAGTCAGAAAAGCCAGCGCCAGCGTCGTTCGCGGACAAGCTAGAGGCGTTCAGCCAGGAGAAGTTCGCGTCGTTCCGAGCTGCCGTGAGCAGCCCCAACCTGCTCACGCCGGAAAAGCCGGTCGATACTCCCGAGGAGCAGGAAGCAAAGGTAACGGTTTCATTGCCGCCAGGACCGAGTCTCTACCGCTCCGCGCCTCTCCTTGCAATCTCGACAGGCCTAGATCGATCTTGAGAGATCAGCGACACGATTGCTCTCGACAGTCTCGTCCGATACCCTATTCCCGACTATGTTTCTTCGGAATCTGGTCAGGTGAAGGCGCTGCGGGAAGCCATCGGTCCGCTGGCGGGCCGCGCGAAGCTGTTCTGCACGGACGCGTGCCTGCGGCGCTACCTGCGCGCGCGCGGCTGGAATGTGCCCAAGGCGGAGAAGATGCTCCGCGACACGCTCCGCTGGCGACACGTGTACCGACCAGAAGAGATCACGTGGGTACGGCCGCGGTTACCCCTTAGACGCTTCCTGAATCTAGGACAGCCCCTCGCGCAAATTCGTCAACTTTTTCTATTTTCAAATGTTCAATTCAGCCTGGTCACGAGCGTTTATAATGGGGATGTGCGGATTGGTTGGTTCAGGAGGACGTGGCGGAAGAGGCGGCGACGGGCAAGGTGTATCGCACGGAATTCCTGGACAAGCAGGGCCGCGCCGTCATTGTCATGTCCGCTGGCCGCCAGGTGAGCCTGACCAGCCTGATCAGCCTGATCCCGCACTGAAGCTCCGCTGCTAATGCTTAGCCAAACTCGCCAAGTGTCTGCCTAAACCGACAGATTCGACTCGCTGAACGCAAGCAATAAAAAATTTACACCCTATCTTGGACTGGATCTCATGTTGGAGCGCAGAACACGGTGGGGCATGCGGGGCAGGTGCGGCACCTGGTGTACGCGTTGGAGAACGCCATCAACCACCTGCCAGCGGGGACGGCGCACAGCCGCATGGTGTGGTTCATCGACTTCCGCGGCTGGACGCTGCGCAAGGCGCCGCCCCTCAAGACGTCCAGGGAGGTGCTGAACATCCTGCAGAACCACTACCCCGAGCGGCTGGGGCAGGCTGTGGTCTATGACCCGCCACCCGTCTTTGAAACCTTCTGGAAGGTGGGTCAAGAAGGGTGTGCAGGCTACAGGGTGTGCGAGATGGGATTCTTTTGCGGGGAGAGGGGGGGAGGGGGGTTCGGGAGTCTTTTTGGAGCGCTGGACATGAATGTGTTATGCCGGATGTGCTGGATTACGCTGCTTGGGGTTCAGGGAAAGGGATTGCTCACATGTTCCCATGCCACATGCTCACATTCTTACATGCTCCCATGCTCCCTTGGTCACACCCCTGGACATCCCTCTTGCATCGCACGGCCCTCCCTTGGCGCCCAGATGGTGCGCCCCTTCGTGGACCCCAACACGTTCAGGAAGATTCTATTTGTGTACCCCAGCAAGCCCGACACCATCGCCAAGCTGGAAGAGATCTTTGACTTGGAGCAGCTAGACCAGGGCTTTGGAGGCCGCTCCACGTGGGCGTTCGAGCTGGACTCGTACAGCCAGGCCATGCGCGAGGATGACGCGCGAGCCAGGGCGTTCTGGGGCATCCCTGCTTCTTCCACTGCCAGCCCCAGACGAAGGGCTCCTGTGCTGCCGGGAGGAGATGACGATGCTCACGCACAGGCAGATGCAGACGCAGAAGCGGGGGCAGGAGGTGGGGCTAGCGAGGGTGAGGGTGGTGTACGGGCCACAGCAGAGGGGCAGGAGGCAGCAGAGGCAGCGAGCCTGGGAGGGCAGGAGGCCGGCGCTGTGCTGTCAGATGCTGAGAACGGGGGTATGGCTGATGAGGGCTGCAGTGTGACTGTAGGGGGAGGTGACCCAGGTCGTTCAGATGGAGATGCAGCAGCAGGAGAGTTGAGAGGGGACGAGAGGGAGGAGCGGAATGGCAGTGGGGGAGGTGCGGAGGAGCGGGAGCAGGACGGGAGCTTCTGGCTGCCTCTGAATGAGCCGGCAGTGAAGGAGAGTGTGCATGCACAGAACATCGCACACGCACACCACGTGCTTAAGAGCACATTCAGCAAGTTGAGCATTGAGTTCAAGAAACCCGCATGGATGCAGAGATGACACCGTGCTGGGGCACTGATGGCATGGCGCACTAATGGTGCAGTGTGATGTGATGTGATGCTAACACTTGATGATGCCCCCAGGGCACCCTGGATACTTGTGCAATTTGTGCTGTCTCATGTTGAAGTGAAGGCTGTGCGTCACCAGTGATGCTATGAACAAAATGTGTACGTATACATTTCAAATCAGAATTGTGCATTCCAAAGCATACGGTCGTTGTTTATCTGACATACAGCTGCAGCAAGCAGCATAACCCGGCGCATCTCACACACGCTCTCACTGAACAGGATGCATAACAGCGCATGCTGCACCTGCGCTCACTTGAAGTTAGAGGGCGTTCCTGGCGATGGCCTGGACATTATGACGTGTAAAGTAGCCTTGTGCCGTTGGCAACAAGTGCACATTTGCACCCGCGCACCAATTAATTCCGTGCGCGAACAAACGTCTGCGACCTGTACGACGCTGAACAAGTCAGGGGACGAACCCTAAAAAATATTCCTTGCTGAATCGACAACCCTCGCACGCATGGGGTATGCAGTGCTGAATTCCCTACCAACACAAACACCCGCTACTTCAGTGCAACCATCCCTGTGGTTTTTTTTTTTCCTATGCCCCAAATGGATTTGGCCCTCATTCTGGTGTTTACAACAGCGCCATTACAATAGCACGTTCCGTCAACTACACTACTGAACATCAGTCGTGCGAAAATGTCGCACGGCCGTTGGTGGGCTGCCTCGTTGAAGGCACGTGGCACCGACGCTCAAATGTCCAGACGTTTGGCATTTGGCCATCCCCAGGAATGCCATCTTAGAACGGCCGGCAGAGGAGCGCCAGCCACCCAGGCGGGCCGGCAATCAGGCAGCAGCGGCAGTCCATGACTGTCATGTCAGTAGATGACAGCTGGTTGGTTGGGTCTCCTGCTGCGCTGCCGTGTGCGCCCCGCCACTCCTGCATCTGCCGTGGGCTGTGCTGTGAGTGCATACATCTTCACCACAAACAGCTCCGAGGGAAAACCGCGCTGCACCTGGGAGAAGCAGAGGGAAGCACGAGCAGAAGAGGGAGCAAGCTGTACTTACTAGTGGCTCCAAGGGTCACACCAGCAGGAGCTCATGTGCTGGGAACACATGCAATAACACTTGGATACCTTTGGATGATTGCAATTTTCAAAATAGTACCTTGAGGTTGGGTACTTTGGATTTGATGGATAACGTTAAGAGTAACTTGAGTGTGAGTGCCTTGGCTTTTGGTGCCTTCGTTTTAAGCACCCTGAGTGTGAGTACCTTGTCTTTTAGTGCCTTCGTTTTAAGCACCCTGAGTGTGAGTACCTTGTCTTTTAGTGCCTTCGTTTTAAGCACCCGGAGTGTGAGTACCTTGGATTTGAGGAGCTGCAGGTTGGCCTGTTTGAAGAGGTCTCTGAAGTATGCATCGCTGCGCGTCACACTGCTGTCCGCCTTGTCCAACACGAACCCTGCATGCACACACATGCATGCACGCATGTGCCCATGCAGACGTGCATGCGTCCATACAACCATGCATCCATGCGTCCATACAACCATGCATCCATGCGTCCATACAACCATGCATCCATGCGTCCATACAACCATGCATCCATGCGTCCATACAACCATGCATCCATGCGTCCATACAACCATGCATCCATGCGTCCATACAACCATGCATCCATGCGTCCATACAACCATGCATCCATGCGTCCATACAACCATGCATCCATGCGTCCATACAACCATGCATCCATGCGTCCATACAACCATGCATCCATGCGTCCATACAACCATGCATCCATGCGTCCATACAACCATGCATCCATGCGTCCATACAACCATGCATCCATGCGTCCATACAACCATGCATCCATGCGGACATACAGTCCAAACGCACCCACCCATCCCCCAACACACCCACCCACACACACAAGCAACGCCCACCCGCACGGGAACAATGATGCCAGGCTTAATCATGACAGATTGGAACACACCCCACAACAGCTACAACCCCCGAGTCTGGTGTTGCACGAATGGGGAGACATGACTCGGCGTGGGGTGGAAAGACGAGGGAACTGGGGTGCCCATTGTGACACGTGCTCTCTCCCCCACCACAATAATTTTTCAATCCACTCAGAGTTACCTTTCTGGCACGTGTTCTCCTTGAGCACTATAATGCCGCCCCGCCGCAGCCCTGCCTGCAAGCAAGGCAAGGGCAGAGTACGCGCAGAGAAAGAGGTGGAGAATGGAAGAGGGGCGGAGAAGGGAAGAGTTGCAGGTGAAGTGGGGAGTGGAGGAGTGGTGGACTGGAGACAGCAGCAAAAACAGCACCAGTTTTCAAGGTTACAGATCCAAAGGAAGTAAGCCTCGACTGTTTATCGAGCACGCACGAGGCAGCGGTGGAGGAAGGCGATGAGGTCAGCGTCAGTTAGGTGGCCGATGCACCACTGCACCCACACCACATCGTACCGCTCTGCATCTGGACTGAACTCCTGCCCACCAGGCACGGCAGGGAGGGACGTGCAGCAACGGTGCAGGCACGCGTGTGAGGGGTGCAGAAGGGGAGAGAACGGTCAGGAGGGTTGAGAGAAGAGGAGGGCGAAAAAATTAGGCAAAGGGTGTGCTGATGCTCATGCGCTGATGCTGATCGCTGATGCTGATGCTGATGCTGATGCTGATGCTGATGCTGACGCTGATGCTGATGCTGATGCTGATGCTGATGCGCTGATGCTGATGCTGATGCGCTGATGCTGATGCTGATGCTGATGCTGATGCTGATGCGCTGATGCTGATGCTGATGCGCTGATGCTGATGCTGATGCTGATCCTGATGCTGATGCTGATGCTGATGCTGATGCGCTGATGCTGATGCTGATGCTGATGATGCTGATGCTGATGCTGATGCGCTGATGCTGATGCTGATGCTGATCCTGATGCTGATGCTGATGCTGATGCGCTGATGCTGATGCTGATGCGCTGATGCTGATGCTGATGCTGATGCTGATCGCTGATCGCTGATGCTGATGCTGATGCTGATGCTGATGCGCTGATGCTGATGCTGATGCGCTGATGCTGATGCTGATGCTGATCCTGATGCTGATGCTGATGCTGATGCTGATGCTGATCCTGATGCTGATGCTGATGCTGATGCTGATGCTGATGCTGATGCTGATGCTGATGCTGATGCTGATCCTGATGCTGATGCTGATGCTGATGCTGATGCTGATGCTGATGCTGATGCTAATGCTGATGCTGATGCTGATGCTGATTCTGATGCTGATGCTGATGCTGATGCTGATCCTGATGCTGATGCTGATGCTGATGCTGATGCTGATCCTGATGCTGATGCTGATGCTGATGCGCTGATGCTGATGCTGATGCGCTGATGCTGATGCTGATGCTGATGCTGATCCTGATGCTGATGCTGATGCTGATGCTGATCCTGATGCTGATGCTGATGCTGATGCGCTGATGCTGATGCTGATGCTGATGCTGATGCTGATCCTGATGCTGATGCTGCTGATGCTGATGCTGATTCTGATGCTGATGCTGATGCGCTGATGCTGATGCTGATGCTGATGCTGATGCTGATCCTGATGCTGATGCTGATGCTGATGCTGATGCTGATGCTGATGCGCTGATGCTGATGCTGATGCTGATGCTGATGCTGATCCTGATGCTGATGCTGATGCTGATGCGCTGATGCTGATGCTGATGCTGATGCGCTGATGCTGATGCTGATGCGCTGATGCTGATGCTGATGCTGATGCTGATCCTGATGCTGATGCTGATGCTGATGCTGATGCGCTGATGCTGATGCTGATGCTGATGCGCTGATGCTGATGCTGATGCTGATGCGCTGATGCTGATGCTGATGTGCTGATGCTGATGCTGATGCTGATGCTGATGCGGTGATGCTGATGCTGATGCTGATGTGCTGATGCTGATGCTGATGCTGATGCTGATGCTGAAGCTGGGAGGGAGACGAAAGCGACAATTCATGTTAAGTAACACGCAGACAGGCGGGTTTACTTTGGAAAGGCAGCACCTGGGAAGGCAGCACCTGGGAAGGCAGCACCTGGAGCGGGCAGCAGAAGAAGTTGACGGCACGGTGGGAGGCGGCAGGCGAGGCAGCAGAGGAGGGCGGCGAGGCGAGGTGGTGTCGGGCGGCATCTATGAAGTGCCGCACTGGCTCCACTAGATCCACCTGCCAGCACAGGCACAGAGGGGCGGTGGTCGGAAATCAGATTCACGGAACTTGAACACAAAAGGTCCACAAGGTGCCTTGCTACTGTGCCATGCATGCACGTTGGAACGCATGCACATTGGAATGCAGGCATACAGGAACGCAATGTGGTGCGATGTGCAAGCACCCACCACCCACCTCGTTGAACACGTGCAACAGAAACTCCTTGGTCACTCGCCCTATGCCTGCCCCGCAGTCTGTCATAACGCATGGTGGGCGGGCGATGGGAAGACACAGGATGTGAAAGGGGGATGGTGCGGCATGCAACAGCAGGAAGGGGCTGAAGTTGTGTGATACAGGTCACAGGGCAGATGGAGATGAAATTCAAGTTAGTAAGCACATGCCCGCGCCTGTGACCCCATGCCCGAGCCTGTGACCCCATGCCCGCGCTTGTGACCCCATGCCCGAGCCTGTGACCCCATGCCCGAGCCTGTGACCCCATGCCCGCGCCTGTGATCCCATGCCCGCGCCTGTGATCCCATGCCCGCGCCTGTGATCCCATGCCCGCGCCTGTGACTTATCCCCCACTCCTCCACAACCTTTTCTCTCCCACAACACCCACCCAGAGCAACAAGCGGGCGGCCCTGTGAGCGGGCAGCGTCCAGCTGTGCACCGTACACCTCCTGCAGGAACGCTGCACTGCCCGCCGCGTCTGTTGCGCTCACCGCGCCGTAGCCCCCCAACACGCCGTCCACACTCGCCTCCACGCCCTGAGATGCACGAAAGGGGGGGAGCGGGGAGGGGAGAGAAGAGGGGAGGCAGGGAGAGCAAGCTGTTGTGAGAAAAGGAGGGAGGGAGGAAGAATGAGAGGAGAGATGGGCGGAAGGAAGGGGGGAGGCAGTGCGCACCTCCCAGTACTTGACGCCCTTGTCGTACCATTCGCGCTTCTTCCCGCCCATTTCCGCCTCCATTGCGCCCTCCCCGCTTCCCCCTTCCCCCGCGCTCACTGCGCGCTCCCCCGTCTCCTGCCGCCACATTTCGTCCGCCGACGCATACTGTCGCCCCTCCGAGTCCACCCCTCCGCGCATCGCCTCGCGCGCGGAAAACCCGCGCGGCGCAGGTCGGGATCCGCCGCGACGGGAAGATGCGCAAACGACGAGACGGGACGAAAGACGGTGGGAACGTCCGGGGGACGCGGAACGCAGTTGGACCGGCGGGAATGGATGCGGCTGGGTTGGGAAATGCGTCAATCCTCGAGATACTGTGTGATACGCTAGTTTCGCCGTGTTTGGGTGGTTCGTGTGTAGCGAGGCGGATGATTCGATTCTGATTGGGTGACGTGGGTGGTGGAGCGATAAGCTCGAAATGATACCCCGCATAGCTCGGCGGATTGAGCGGCGTGCCTGGAAAATAGTCCTTGCTGTAGCTGATCAGTGATGATCGCAGTGTGGGGGGATGGATTGCTGGGCATCAATCAAAACTGCCTCGTCAAAAGTGTTCTCAATTGACGGTGATGTCATAATGGCAGCTTTGCCTACTTCACTATCACAAAGAGGTAATGAGTGTAAATCTGATCAACGTAATGAGTCCATGTTCAAAGCAGTGGAACAGCTCTGTGCTCCACATGGCGCACACGCACACTTCAGATTCTCATTGCACCACATGCACATAGAAAAATACCGGAAGTGCACCAGCTTTTTGGTTTCTGGAATTTATGAGTAAAAACACAAGGTGAAGAGCAACCACAAGCAAAAACACCAGCCTCAGATCAAAAGGGCCAGTCTGCTTCAATAAATGTTCACACATGCAGTACGGAAATCCTTGGTTCATGGTCTGATGCGAAAGCAAGCACCGTACTCCACTCCACTCCACTACAAATACGTCAATGAAGAGTACGAGGTCCCATATGTGCACATTCCTTCTGATGCTCCTTCAAATACTCGTAAGCCTGCTTTCCAGTAATCAAGTCAGCAACAGGCGCTGGGCTCTTCCCAGCCCCCACTCCTCCAGCACTGCTCCTCACATTCGAGCTGGTCCTGGCACTTGGTATACCTGACAACCCACTCACCCTATCACTCGCCCTTCCACTCACCCTGTCACGCTCTATACCGCTACCTCTGGCCTGGGAGTCCCCATCGCTTGATGCAGAGCTGGCCCTTGTGCCCCTTGCAGCCATGTGCTGTGCACTGTCCCACAGCCACGCTGCCTGCTGCTGCAAGCTCAGCACCCCTGCTCTGTGAGCGTACTCTTGAGTGTGCTCTGGTGATGTAGCAGGGAGCCTGTGACCTGCCAGTCAAGCATAGAGGACATGAAATGGTGAGGGGCAGAAACAGCAAGGGATGATAAAACGCACACAATGCAGCTGAATGTTTCTCACCGGTTGAAGCGCCTGGAGTGTTTGGAAACATTGCTGGTTGTCTTGTTGCCCCAGCTGCAGCTTGGCTCGGCTCAGTTTGGCGCTTCCCCTGACTGGTCACTGCTCCGTCATATGCCAGCACGGGGCTTGAGGACTGCGTGTTCTGGCTGGTAACTCCCTTGTCTGTTCCTCGGTTGCTTGAGGCCCATGGCTTGGCTCCAGGAGAGCGGGAAACACTCATGGTGGCCAGCGACTCAATTGCCTGCATGAGCCCGTCAAAGCCTGACTGCAGCCGCTTGTCCACTGGAGGAGGGACTGCCTTCACTGGGGTCTTGTGCTCCGCCTTGCTCGCCCTGACAGCCGTGAGTGAGGGACTGGAAGTGACGAATGGCAAGACAGAACGAACAGAAAATACTCACCAGGGGTCCTGATTGGCAGTTGCAGTCTGGGATGGCTGCTGAAGTGCCTGCACTTCAGCCTGAGTAGGGGAGCTGGATAACGTGACTTCAACCTTACCCAACATTGTTGCTGCAGATCCTTTGCCCACTAAATGGTTCCCTTGCGCTCCATGCAATCCAATGCCATCACTACCACCAACATCATCCAACGGCTTGTCCATGCATGCACTCGCCCCATCAGCAGCACCCCCTGGTGGGTCAGTTCCACGCTTCTCAGCAAGGCGCTGAGAGGCACCATCAGCTCCATCAGACTTATCTTCTCCTTCCCCCTCAGGCTCGGAACCTTCAGCATTGGAGCCCTGAGCCACATCTGTTCCTTTGTCATGCAGAGCTGTTGCGATGGCTCCCTTCCTTATGGTAGGTGGGACTCCTGAGTTGGAACGTGAAGCAAGAGGAGTAGGCGCCTCCAGTCCCCCAATGCGCCCCTCCAGCCGAGAGACATTACCTGACCCCCCTCGCATCAGCATTGCCTCCCTGGCTAGCTGAGCAGCCACCAAACGGCGCCCTGGCTCCTCACTGACCAGCTTTGTTTTCCACCAGTGGTCATCCAATATGACCCGTGGGCGCCGTGTGCCCATGGAGGTGCTACCACCAGCGCTCGTTTGGGTGGCAAGAGGCCAACTTCTCTTTGACATGGTCGGTGGAGCTGCTGCTGCCGGTGCTGTCTCTGGCGTGGCTGTGGCTGGACTGCTCACTTGATTTGCTTGACCCGTCACTGGATCTCGCACCGACAACAATCTCTGACGAGTGCTCGCCCTTCAACTCTTTGGACAACTCCATGCTGAGGCTTCCGCTCAAGGCTGTTGAATGATCACACGCATAGGCACCTCCATCCAGCTCACATGGTCTTCTCCCTTCACTGACCCCATCCCCACTAACCTCAGCGGCCCCATTCCTTTTGCTGGAACCATCTCCATCCTTCTCATCACCTTGTTTTGCTCCAAACAGAACGCTGCAACCAGCCTCTGCACTCGCTTGTGACTCCAAGCCTTTTGCATCATCAACCTCAACGTCAGCAACTTGGTCCAGGCATGAACCGTTTTCAGGGTGCTCCATATCAGGTGGGAGGGCTTGCGGGTCTGGGGTAGATAGCCTCTCCTGATGGTGACTCGTTTTAAAGAGGGATGCAGCAGCATTTTTGTATGCATCTTGTCTGCGCACCTCTTGTTCCTGCACTCAACAAGTAAACAGCGTCAGCCCAATGACATAAGCCTGGATCTTCCCTTGCATGCTTAATAGATTCATACCTGTAGCTTCTTCCTGTCCAATTCACTCATTTCAGCCATGTGGTCATCATTCTCCTGGTTTCTCCTGAATGCACCACCAAGATCCACCATTGCACCACTCATTTTTGAACCCAGTTCGACAAATGCTGCTACAGGAGCAGCAACGATCATCTGCAGGGATGACAGATTCTTCAATGCAGAATTCTGAGAGACTCCCTCGTGGCCTGCTCCATCTGATGCTGCTGTGGCTGCAGCTGCGTGCTGCCCTGTCGATCCGAATCGCCAAAGTGCGGGCTTACATGAGGTGCTGCCGGTCTCCCCAATGAAGCCACCCTCAGAACCTCTCCCTTTTGCAGAGGAGCTGTTGGAGGTGGTTTCTTTTGGCCCACCTGACAATATCTGCACTCCAGCTGCTATATTAGCTAGTTCCGCATGCCTGGAAACGTCTGCTCGAGCACTCTGTCTCTTCATCAAACCACTCGTGTTGCCATAACCCATTATGCGTGCTTTGAGCTCGTCATGAGTCAGCTTCTGCTTCTCAGCGGATTGCATGGGAGCAATGATGTCGACATGAGCACTCTCCACGTCATCCGCCGCCATCTGATTAGTAGAAGTCACTTCCACAGGATGGCATTCCACATCATCACCTGTTGAGTTAGCAGCACCCAGGCCAGTGTCAGAGCTTGCAGTGACATTGGTCTCGTTAACTTGATCGGTTGGTGAACTTGCATTCACAGCATCAGGAGCTGATGAATCACCCTCCACCGAATCTTCAACCCTTTGCTCCACGCTTGTGTTCAAGGAACAAGGCACAGAGTCAGATGCAGCTTCTGGGGTGGCGTCGTAACTAGTCACTGGTACTGATTCCGTCAGCCGCTCCTCTACTGCTGCTTCTGGCAAGATATGCTCACTGGTGACGTTTTCGTTGGGAAAGCCGATGGGAGGAAGCCTTATGCTGGTGCCAGTCATGTCATACATACTTAAAATCCACTCAAGAATCGCACTCATAGGCGTAGCATGAGCTTGAGCCTTGCTTAATGCGTCTGAGTGTCACAAAATGAAGAGGTATTAGTACACACTCACTCAGTGTACGCACTCGCATCAAAGAAGCATTGACATCAAGGAACATACCATGGTCCACGATGGAGGAAACTTCACCATCGTTGTTGAACAAAACACAGCTTGGCACTACCAAATCACACTGGCCACCTGACTTGTCATTTTTGCTTGACAGAAAAGAGCGAGAGCGAGAAAACTGAATACCGATTTTGCGTGTTTCCACCGGATTCGAGGCCACTTCGGAATCGTGGGGTTCCATTATGCGACCCTTTTTCAGGTTCCATGAAAGAGCAGTGGGTGGCATGCTCTCAGAAGATATCTTTGACGCGTTTTTTCGTGGAAGACGTAGAGCAGTGAAGTAATAGACGAGCAGAACCGCATTCGAGCCGATTCCAAGACTTCGAGACAATGACGAGACATTGCACGCGACTGAGGCATGTTCCTCTCCACAGGACAGGTGTTCGCATGCAACGATTGTAACACCGAGCGCCTCATTTGTTCCAAATGCCCTGTCAGGGTAGCGTATATTAGTTGTTTGATACCAAGCCTACTAGACATTCACTCCAACACGAACCTCTCTGGAGATAGAGGTTTGGGTGCGCAAATCAGCTGAGCCGTCGCGTGAGCTCCTCTCTTGTTCTTGCGTAAAACGGGAGCCGAGAACGCCAGCAAATGCAAGCCTGCTGCTGCCTCTTTTGAAAGCACAGCGGAACGGGTTGTGATAACCAGACCGCCATCAAGCAGTAATCCTGTAAAAACCTCCTCCTTTTGGAGCTTCGCCAAAAGGCTAGCGCAGCAATCAGGTTCTAAATCTCGCAAAGAGGATACGCCGAGTCTGTTTGAGAAAACGAAGCGTGTCAATCCGACTTTCAATAGGGAAAAATACGGTGCAATAAGCGCTTACCTGCTTAACAAGACAACCGAGACCTGGTGTGGCTGTATGGATTCGACTGCTGGCGAGGATGAACCGGAAAATGACCCACAACCGAAAGCCATAAGGATGCTTTCTTTAAAGCACCACTTACCTACCTAACGAGAAAATACTTCCCACCACGTAAAGGGATTTACAGTCTAGGAATTTGAAGCTCAACTGAGGTATCCATTGCAATCAAGTGCTCAGCGACCAACAGCAACACAGAGTAGTTGTGGAAAGCAGGAAAGCTTGGCTTCTGGTCGCTGTAAAAGGTCTCTTCGCTGACGACGTGAAATCCAGAAAGGTGGTTCCAATTTCGCTAAGGTCGTGAGCAGCTACAGCCAGTACAGTGGAAATTCGACTGGAAAATATTCCAATAAACAAGCATTTTATTTCTGCTATTTCTTGCAACCATGGAAATAATGTTAATCACCCTTTCAGACTTCTAAATGTGCACTCCACAATGTTTGACAAAACGTCATCATTACACCGTTTCCGTACAGGGGCATAGTTCAATAATCATCCCATCCAGGAGATCCGACTCTGACACAATGCATGCTGTGCACTGAAGCACTTCCATTATTGATAACACAGCACAAATACCCCCAATGATCACGTCCACATGCCCTTCCCACATGCCAGGTAAGTGAGCTCTGTCCTCTCGTGTCATTACGCTGCATTTCTCCAGTATCCCTTTCACCATTTCCACATCCAAAACAAAACCATGAACTTTCTCCCTTGCGTATGGAACGCCCTGAGCAAGGGCAGCAAGTGTTGTCAGTATCCCTCCTGTGCCCACCACCACTCCCTCCCCTCCACGTGTTGCCACTCCAGAACTACTCCCTCCTACATGATTTATGACAATATTCTGTGGCTGATGGTTACCAACGTGCTTGAACCAGTCCGTTGACAGTGCAGGAGAGAGTCTGCAGTGGTAGGCCTCCCTGGCAGCATGACGAGCAGCTTCAATGCTGGATGGGGAGGTGGGGCTGAGGTGGAGGAAATAGGAGCGTGATAAAGAGGAGGAGCCGATGTCAACTGAGACAACAGTGTGAGGGCCAGAGATAGTGGGTGAAGACGAGGTCAAAATGGAGGAACTGGAAACTGCATCCCTGAACGGAGGAAAGATAGTGCCTAAGGCCACCTCTGATGAACCACCGCCGATGTCTATCACTGCAAGGGGTGCTCCCCTCACTTCCTCCGTCAATAAACTGCTGACTGCCGCGGTGGCGCCAAGGAATGTCAGCTTGCCCTCTTCTTCCCCTGATATGACTTCTGGAGTTGAACCAATCACTTGTGCGGCTGGGATGAGAAGATCTGCAGCATTGACTGCACGCCTAGCAGCTGACGTAGCGCACATGCGCGTTCGCGAGACCCTGTGAACGCGACATAGCTCGGCGAAGTACCTCAGGATATCAAGGCACGTGGAAACAGTGTCAGGAGAAAGGGTACCATTGCGTGCCACGTCAGCTCCAAGAGTCACTGACCGTGTTTCGCGAACCAGCTCTCTGCTTGGGAAACATGAACTAATACCTTCTCCGCATTCGCATATGAGGAGTCTAAGCGCATTAGTCCCGCAATCTATAGCCGCCACACGCACAGAAGCGGAGCTGTTGGGAGAATCAAGATGTCGAATTGCGCTCTCCGGCTGCATCTCATGGCCAGCTCTGATCCACAAATGTCCATGTTTTTTTATTGGAGGAGCGATTTTCCCGGACTGGACGGGAAGCGGGGACATGAAGTCCCAACGGTGGCCTGTCGGCTTGATTTGCTGCGAATTGGAACATGTGAAGGTCGCGGATCGTCCCCGGCCGAAAGCAAGACACTGCGGCCCCACGCTACATGACGCCCTCCTAAGATTTCTCTGGCATAAAGCGGGACAAATGCTGCTAGCTAGCGAACATCCTTGACGCATAGGAGCGACTAGGAAACACATGATGCATGTCGGCTTGCCAAGAGACTGCTGGTAATTGGTCCGGTTTGCTACTTACGTGATATGGCTGGCAGCGTTTGTGACTCGCCGAAACAGAATCAAGGGTCTTCAGTGCTGTCTTGCAAAAACATGGTACGTTGGTATGCATTATCTGGTATGCATTATCCGTGCCGCACTTTATTCTGCTCTGGCTGTAAAGGAACGTCTAGTTACAGCCGCCTTCCAAAGCGTTTATGAACACTAAGAAGCCCTTGAGTAATTACGGTAGATACCAAGGGCATGACATCTGCACCAGGGTGTGACAGGTCAAAACCCAAAAACCCAGCATTACACGGCAGCTTATGAGAGCCATGGCATTGGCCATACTCTGGTCCCAGAGAGACGTGGTACTTTTCCAGTCCAAACGTAGGGAAAAAGTGGACAGAAAACACTTGTGTCAGGGAGAGGACAATGGTGGTTGAGAACGTCGCTGCATTGAACAAGTGCTAACATTGAGAGTACATGCTCAACGGAACCTATCCGTCAACAGCTTATCGGTTGATCTCCTCGTCCAGGTCAATGTGGATGTACTCTGTGTCGTCCTCCAGCCGCTTGCGTGAGCCGCTCCCAGCTGGCACTGGCGTCAGAGGCAGGCCCAGGCGGCTCTTGCCCTTCGAAGACTTCGGCCGGCACTGAGAGGAGAGAAGGGGAATGAAGGGCAGTCACTTGTTGAGTGAGGGAAAAGGGACTGTCGATGGCTTACACATTTGACAGAACATTGTGTATCCTGGGGGAAAAATGGATTTGCAGAAGAGACCAAACACTAAGTCTTAGCTTACGTTGCCAAAAGATCCACGTGTCCTCTTTCCTTTCGCGGTACGCTTGTCCCCACGCCCACAATAAACTGCACAGAACGATCATCCGAGGCCACAACACCAGGTCGCGAATTTTCCTTTTCTGAAATAACGGGCGAGGGAGGTTTCGACACCACCCATAACCTAACTCCTCTGAACGCAATATGCTGCTGTGATATGAAAACCAAATGAGATGAGAGGATTGCAAGAGCTATCGCACAATGTGAAAGCTAAAACGCTTGCCTTGCGGAAATCCCGCAACCTTCAGCGCATCCTGGTTCACGGGAGCTGCGCAGGAAACCTGCGAAGAAGAATCTGTCAAAGTCGCGCAACTCCCAAGGGAAGCTGCGGGAGTGGAGACTAAGAACGAAGAAGCAAGCAGGGACGCCATGGCGGAGAGGCGGAGCTTCAGGAATGCCTTGTTCAAGTTGAGATGGTTCAGCGGGAGAGAGGTGCGGGAGGTGGTGGCGTAGAGTCGGTTGGGAGGTGGCCAAACAGGGAGAGAGCGAGAGAGCAGCGAAAGCAACGGTGCCGATGGTCGTGTGATTGGTGGATAGAGGGATCGCCACGTGGCACATATATCCTCGTCATTATCAGTTTGCGAGAACGAAAACACGAAGATTGAAATTCGGGAAAGTCTATCCCAGCTCCCGACTTTCAGTTTTTTCTCATATTTAGCCCTATGTTTACTCAAAAAGCACCACTTTTCTTTATTTCTCTCACGCGAGGCCCAAAGTATGTTCAAAACTGGTCCTGCGGGGCGAAGTTTTCGACACGTGTTCTTTTGTTACCAGCTGACGCACTTCCACTCTGAACTAACCGTTTGTCAGGGCAATTTTCGCGCCGGAAAAGTTTTTACGGGACAAAAAAACATAAAACCCCTAAAGGACCATTACACATTTTCGGGAGGGAGCAACCCTAAACACGGGACCTGCTAGGTGTTTAGGGTTGATCCCTCCCGCGAATGTGTCCTGGTTCTCTAGGGGTTTTATTTTTTTTGCCCCCCTCCAAATTTTCCATGCGTGGAAGTTCGTCAGATGGTGTAACAAGAGGACACGTGTCGAAAAAATCGCCCCGCAGGACCACTTTTGAACATACTTTGGGCCTCGCGTGAGAGAAATTCTAGAAAGTGGTGCTTTTTGAGTAAACCTAGGGCTGAATATGAGAGAAATCTGAAAGTCAGGAGCGGGGATATACTTTCCCTTGAAATTCATCAGCTGGTTACAATTGGCTCTGTAGGGGTTATAAACTTCTGCCATCACCGTTTCACTGCCGAAGCCAACTGGTTTGCGTATGATAAGACGGAACTACTGCTTATCAGGATATTTACGTTTAATGTCGCTTTGTTAGGCTCTAAGCCTGTGGTCGCTAATGACGCCAATGCTATCAAGCAGCTAGAAAGAACCTTACAGTAAAGCAGAATTGTCGGCGAATATTCATATAAGAGGAAAAATGTTCTGATATTTCTTTGATTTACAAGAACAATGGTGAGATCGCCTAGTTCACCTGGGCGTACCAGATGCCCTGGATCTTCACTTCCTTGGGAACCTTGGCACCCATATCAGTGTCAGAGGGCTGCACGCTGGTGAACACTCCGCCAATCTCGCCAGTCTCAACGTTCGACTTGGCCACGCTGAAGGTGATGTTGCCGCTCAAGGACTTGTACGACTTCTCGTTCTCCTTCCTCAGCTTCTCGTTGTCACCGAAGCCACCAGCAGGGAGGGCAACGGCAGAGTCGTACCCTTGGGCACCACCACGGCCCTTGGGGTCAAGGAACGTGGCACCGCGGTAGGACGGCACCAGGAAGGACCCGCCGAAGCTGTCGGGCGTGCCAGAGGCAACCAGCTCCTTAATGGTGAAGAGGAACGGCACCCTCTCGCCACCGGACAGCTGGACGGTGACAGCGGCGTAGTCAATGCCGTCAACCTCGGTGAACTTGATCTTGTCGCCGGAGACCTCAAGGGGACCCTCAATCTCGTCCAGAGTGTATGTGAGGCGGGTCATGAGCTTGGTCTTCTGGAAATCCTCGCCCTGGCCCTTGAACTGGGACTCGGCCTTCACGGTGAAGGAGGTGGGCTCCAGGCACATCTTGGTGACCTGGTACTTGCCGGACTTGAAGGCGAAGCCATCAACACCGCCAGCGATGATGGGGCACTGGTTGGCGATGCCGCTGCCCTTCACCTCAGAGTAGGTAAGGCTCTGGAGCTCCTCGAAGGTCAGCCTGGGGATCTCAGCCTGGGCAGCCTGTTTAAACATAAACGCGAAATTTTACGTCAGGAATTGCGTTCCAAAGAATAAACAGATCTACAGAAGAGTAAGGACAGTAACACTAACCGACGCAAGCAGGGCGGTCGAGGCGAGAGCAAGAGCGGCGGTCTTGCCGGCATCAGCAGCCTTCTGCACGAAGCCGCGGACGTTCTCCTCCAGGGAGCAGGACACCTTGGAGGAGGCAGACTTCAGGCCGAAAGCCTGAGACACGGGAGCAGCCTTCAGGGAGGCAGCATTGACCTTAGGCTGCACAAGGGACGCGGCCTTGAGGCTGGCGGAGACGGTGGTGGCAGCCATGGTTGCGGGATGCTAGGAAGACACCTGCAAACCAAGAATGCACCAAAGAAAATCGGTCTCAACGGAGTGGGAGGCAACCAGAGTAGATCCCTAGGAGAAACGAAAGAGGTGGTCTCCCAACGGGGGGAGGAATTGGATGGGCGAAACTGCATTATCCACGAACAGATGTCGCCACGATCGTCAGAACCAATGTGATGACGCCACGATGGCAGTCGGTTCGTTTCTCGCCACCAGGTTTAGCACGCTGATTTCCTCGATGGTCGCACGGGTAGTGGCTGGGTGTGCTGGTGCGGTAACTTTCGCCCATGCGTTTCGCGTGTGGATTCGAAACCCTGTCTGCGTACGCTCTTTACGCGTCTCGATATTGAAATTGTATCCGAATTCGATTCTTCTCCAAACAATTGTTTCCGGTGTACTTCACGCGACCTCAAAATTGACCAACCGGAAGTGAGGGAGGAACTGCCTGGCGCGGCTGGTTCATAGCAAACCATCTCCTCCGCTACAGAACACACGGATCAAATGCTGATTCCTACTAAGTACGCCGTCTATACGCCACTACGTTTGAGGGTATCTTGTCAGTTGCTTACCCGTCTGGGTTATCTTTTTCCTGTCCAGAATTCACGGCAGTCGCGCGCAGCTCAGTGAATCTCTCCAATTCGATAGGCGTTCTTTCTGTTTCCCTTGTTCCATTGGTCAACCCTGATTGCTGCCGCATAGTCAGCTTTAGTATCCGCGTATGCGGAAAAAATGCCGTCTGCCTCCCCAACGGTGCAGGACTCCCCGCATGGCAGCTTCAGGCAAGCGGACATGCGCGGAGCGGGCATGGGCCGCGGGGGGAACATGGGGGGCATGGGAGGGATGGGGATGCGCGGGCCAGGCATGCGGGACATGGGCATGCGGGGGGCGGGCGTGCGGGAGGGGCCGGGCGTCGTACGCGATACGGGAATGAGTGAGCTCGCGCTCCGATCCATGGCGATGCGCGACCCGGGCATGCGCGGCGGTCGAGGCCCCGCGGCGTACGGCGGCGCGTACGGCGCATATGCCGGAGGCGCGGGGCCGCGGCGGGAATGGGGCGCGCAAGAGCAGCGGCGGTGGGGGGCTGGTGGGGGGTACGTCTCGGGAATACCGGCGACGGGAGTAGCGCCGTACGACAGCCCACCCGAGACGACGTACGTGGAGATGGAGGACGATCCGACGGCCCACGACTCGCCGCCGTCGTATCACAGAGCGAGCGACGTGAATCCGCACATCGCCATGCTGAGGCGGCGCCGCGCCATGTACAGCAGCAGCAGATCGCACTACCTGTCGGCGCTCATCAAGCAGAACCTTCCCTATATAGTCATCGCGGTGCTGCTCATTCTTTTACTTATTCAAAACCGGCGGCAACAGCTTGCGCCAGCCTCGAATGGGGGGACTGGCGCAGCAGGTGGGGCGGGCGCGGGAGGGGGAGGCGCAGGGTCAGGGGCTAAGTCGGCAGCGGGAGAGAAAGCGGAAGCAGGGAAGGGGGCCGGGGGGCAAGGGGGGCCGGGGCAAGCGCAGTCAGTGCCAGCGCCGGCCAAAATTCCAGTGGACCCGCGGGTGCTGCAGCAGCAAGGGGGCGCGCAGCCGCAGCAGCAGCAAGTTCAAGCTGTAGGCGCGGCGGGAGGGGGACTGACGGCGGGGGCAGCGGGAGGGGGACTGACGGCGGGGGCAGCCGGGGGGGGTCGGGCAGGGGCGTCAGGCAGAGGCATGGCGGCCACAGCAGGGGGAACAGGCGCAGCAGGGGCCGCAGGGGGGGGAGCGGGGACCACTGCAGGGGCGGCGGGAGCAGCATCGGGGGGAGACACCAGCACATCTAGCCACTTCGACCCGCAATCCGACCTGAGTGACACGGAGAAGCGGCGCGAACTGGTGAAGGCGATTCTGGAGGACCCGAACTCGAGAATAGCCAAGGAGGTGACGCGCAACAACGTGTTCCGCGAGCACATGCCCACGTTTGGGTTCGTGCAGTTCGCGAGTTACCGCATGAGCGAAAGCAAGTTCGCTGTGGTGGGGCTGGCGTCCCGCGTGCTCAAGACGTCGCGGGAACTGGGCAGGTGCCTGTGGAAGGAGAAGCACGGCGGCCACAGGGTCACGGGGCAGCTCGTGGGTGAGTAGCGTGGGGAGAGGGATGAGGGGGAGGGTGACGTAGGACAGCGGAGAAGGACGGTAGGTAGCTGGTGGGTGGGCTGGAAGGAGTGGGAGATGGGGGAGATGGGTGAGATGGATGGTATGGGGGAAGATGGTGAGTGGGATGGGGTTGAGAGGGAGATCGCAGTGGAAGTAAGAGGGAGTGGGTGTGGATGGAGTGAAAGTGACTTGCGAACCTCTTCCCTTCCCCCTCTTCAAACCCCATCTTTCCTCACCTTCACCCCCTCACCCCCACCTCCTTCTCGTCTTTTTCACCCCCTCACTCCCACCTCTCTCGTCTTTTTCCCCACATCTCCTCCCCCTCACCTCAACATTGAACAGCCTACTACCCAGGGGACGACCACAACAAGCGGTACGAAGCAGTGGTGCTGGTGTGCGAACTAGAAGAGTCTACAGCACAAGACTTCGGCGGAATCCTTGTGGTAACCGTGGACAAAGAAGACATTGTCGCATACATAGAGGACCAGGGCCAGTACCCCTCCGCCAACCCCGCCCCGCCCTACCCCCACCGTCTCACCTACTGCTCGCCGCCGCTCGCCACGAAGCTCATCCCGATGCGCATCTACGAGTGGATAGAGTACCACCTGCACGTGGGGGTGGACCGCGTCGTGCTGTACGATGCAGGCGCGCTGGACCCCGAGATCATGGCGCTCATAGAGGGCTTTGTGGAGGGCGGATACGTGCAGATCGTGGACATGCGGCGCGTGGAGCAGTTTGACATCTGGGAGTCTGGGAGGTTGCTCGCGATGAATGATTGTGTGCACCAGCACGCGTTCACCTCCCAGTGGGTGTTCTTCGCCGAGATGAGCGAGTACTTCTCGTCCAGGTCCGGGGAGGATATGGCGGCCGTGCTGAGTAGGTTTGAGGGGCGGCCGTACGTGTCGTTTGGCAGCCGATGGTGGTCGCTGGAGAAGTGCGTTCAGGTGGAGGGGGCAGGGGGAGGGGCGGGGGGAGGGGTAGGGAGGGGTGCGGGAGGGAGGAGCTTGCTGGCTGTGGCGGGCGGGGGCGGTGGAGGAGGGTCGGCGTTAAGGTCGGTGGGTAATAGCACGGGAGCTGGTGCGGGTGCAGGTGGTGATGCTGCGCGCACAGCTGGAACCACAGGTGCTGGTGCTACTGCTGGTGCTGCCGGCGGTGGTGGTGCTGCAACTGCTGGGACTGCAGGTGCTGCTGGTGGTACTGGTGGTGGTACTGCGGGTGCTGCAGGGGGTGGTGGTGGTGGTGTTGGTGCATCTGGTGGTGGAGCCGGTGCTGCTGCTGGTATGGGTACAGCCGGTGCGGCTGGCGCCACTGCTGCCGCTACAGCCACCACCACCATCACCACAGCCACAGCAGCAGTGACCACAGCCGAGCCGCCCCCAGCAGCCTCACCGGTGTGGGCAGTGGAGCGCATGCGCTTCCACTGGCCGCAGCTGTTCTGCACCAACAAGGACGAGTACCCGCGCGCCGAGATGTGCCTGGGGGAATTCGGCTACCGCCGAGTCGCCGTGGATCCAAGACAAGTCATGACCGTCCTGGTTCACCGCACCAGCGTGCCCGAGATGGGCGGCGACGACTTGGACGCTAGTGAGGCGCGGTTCAACCGGTACCCACTGCTGACGGAGGAGACGAGGAAGGCGTGCCAGAGAGAGGTTCGGCCAGGGGAGGTGGTGGAGTGGTGGGTAAGGGACGCTGAGGTGGCGGAGATTGCGGAGAAGGCGCGGAAGAGCCCTAAGGGGCGGCCGCTGGTCTCGTCTGTGTTGTCTTTTGCTCGAAGATGACAGGCAGAGGGGGTGTAAAGGTGGCTCAAGGTTGCTGGGAGCATAGGTGGGTGGGAGGTTGAGTCGAGGAGGCATGGGGCAGGAGGGTTTTGTATGGTGGGCTTGGGAGTTTGGTGTGTGGATGACTGGGTGGATGAGCAAGTGAGTTGTGGCCTCCCAGGGTCCTGCTCTTAGGGAGGCTGCGAACCCGCCAGCCCTGTTTTTATAATTCATAGCTTAATACTTTGTAATGACAGGTCGATTGCAAGTTCGAGCTCATAACAAGCCCCTTGTGTATGACTCCCTATGATCAGCAAGTCCATGAGAACGTGGACGGTGGACCGTCCTGGATGAAATCTAGTATTTGTATTTGAACATGGGCCACTTGAATATGCAATAAAATTCAGGTTGTTGAATGCTTTTCCCTACGCCTATAGGGATTCACGTGCTTTCTAGGCACTTGGCGGCAAAACCGGCCGAAATCGTGGGCGCCGAACTTTTCTTCGCGCAAGAACCAAGCCGAAAAGGCTCTAGTATGTGTATTTGAACATGGGCCACTCGAATATGCAATAAAATTCAGGTTGTTGAATGCTTTTCCCTATGCCTATAGGGATTCTTGCACTTTCTAGGCACTTGGCGGCAGAACCGGCCGAAATCGTAGGCGCCGAACTTTTCTTCGCGCAAGAACCAAGCTGAAAAGGCTCTAGTATGTGTATTTGAACATGGGCCACTGGAATATGCAATACAATTCAGGTTGTTGAATGCTTTTCCCTACACCTATAGGGATTCACGCGCTTTCTAGGCACTTGGCGGCAGAACCGGCCGAAATTTCGGGCGCCGAACTTTTCTTCGCGCAAGAACCAAGCCGAAAAGGCTCTAGTATGTGTATTTGAATATTTGCCACTGGAATATGCAATAAAATTCAGGTTGTTGAATGCTTTTCTCTACGCCTATAGGGATTCACGCGCTTTCTAGGCACTTGGCGGCAAAAACGGCCGAAATCGTGGGCGCCGAACTTTTCTTCGCGCAAGAATCAAGCCGAAAAGGCTCTAGTATGTGTATTTGAACATGGGCCACTGGAATATGCAATAAAATTCAGGTTGTTGAATGCTTTTCCCTATGCCTATAGGGATTCACGCGCTTTCTAGGCACTTGGCGGCAGAAACGGCCGAAATCGTAAGCGCCGAACTTTTCTTTGCGCAAGAACCAAGCTGAAAAGGCTCTAGTATGTGTATTTGAACATGGGCCACTCGAATATGCAATACAATTCAGGTTGTTGAATGCTTTTCCCTACGCCTATAGGGATTCACGCGCTTTCTAGGCACTTGGCGGCAAAAACGGCCGAAATCGTGGGCGCCGAACTTTTCTTCGCGCAAGACCGAGCCGAAAAGGCTCTAGTATGAGTTTTTAATTATGGGCCACTCGAATATGCAATAAAATTCAGGTTGTTGAATGCTTTTCCCTACGCCTATAGGGATTCACGCGCTTTCTAGGCACTTGGCAGCAAAAACGGCCGAAATCGTGGGCGCCGAACTTTTCTTCGCGCAAGAACCGAGCCGAAAAGGCTCTAGTATGTGTATTTGAACATGGGCCACTCGAATATGCAATAAAGTTCAGGTTGTTGAATGCTTTTTCCTACGCCTATAGGGATTCACGCGCTTTCTAGGCACTTGGCGGCAAAAACGGCCGAAATCGTGGGCGCCGAACTTTTCTTCGCGCAAGAACCAAGCCGAAAAGGCTCTAGTATGTGTATTTGAATATGGGCCACTCGAATATGCAATAAAATTCAGGTTGTTGAATGCTTTTCTCTACGCCTATAGGGATTCACGCGCTTTCTAGGCACTTGGCGGCAAAAACGGCCGAAATTGTAGGCGCCGAACTTTTCTTCGTGCAAGAACCAAGCCGAAAAGGCTCTAGTATGTGTATTTGAACATGGGCCACTCGAATATGCAATAAAATGAAGGTTGTTGAATGCTTTTCCCTACGCCTATAGGGATTCACGCGCTTTCTAGGCACTTGGCGGCAAAACAGGCCGAAATCGTGGGCGCCGAACTTTTCTTCGCGCAAGAACCAAGCCGAAAAGGCTCTAGTATGTGTATTTGAACATGGGCCACTCGAAATTCAGGTTGTTGAATGTTTTTCCCTACGCCTATAGGGATTCACGCGCTTTTTAGGCACTTGGCGGCAAAATCGGCCGAAATCGTAAGCGCCGAACTTTTCTTCACGCAAGAACCAAGCTGAAAAGGCTCTAGTATGTGTATTTGAACATGGGCCACTCGAATATGCGATAAATCTCAAGTCGATGAATGCTTTTCCCTACGCCTATAGGGATTCACGCGCTTTCTAGGCACTTGGCACCGAAATCGTGGGCGCCGAACTTTTCTTCGCGCAAGAACCAAGCCGAAAAGGCTCTAGTATGTGTATTTGAATATGGGCCACTCGAATATGCAATAAAATTCAGGTTGTTGAATGCTTTTCTCTACGCCTATAGGGATTCACGCGCTTTCTAGGCACTTGGCGGCAAAAACGGCCGAAATCGTGGGCGCCGAACTTTTCTTCGTGCAAGAACCAAGCCGAAAAGGCTCTAGTATGTGTATTTGAACATGGGCCACTCGAATATGCAATAAAATTCAGGTTGTTGAATGCTTTTCCCTACGCCTATAGGGATTCACGCGCTTTCTAGGCACTTGGCGGCAAAACAGGCCGAAATCGTGGGCGCCGAACTTTTCTTCGCGCAAGAACCAAGCCGAAAAGGCTCTAGTATGTGTATTTGAACATGGGCTACTCGAATATGCAATGAAATTCAGGTTGTTGAATGCTTTTCTCTACGCCTATAGGGATTCACGCGCTTTTTGGGCAGTTGGAGGCAAAATCGACCGAAATCGTAAGCGCCGAACTTTTCTTCGCGCAAGAACCAAGCCGAAAAGGCTCTAGTATGTGTATTTGAACATGGAACACTGGAATATGCAATACAATTCAGGTTGTTGAATGCTTTTCCCTACGCCTATAGGGATTTACGCGCTTTCTAGGCACTTGGCGGCAAAAAACGGCCGAAATCGTAAGCGCCGAACTTTTCTTTGCGCAAGAACCAAGCTAAAAAGGCTCTAGTATGTGTATTTGAACATGGGCCACTCGAATATGCAATGAAATTCAGGTTGTTGAATGCTTTTCTCTACGCCTATAGGGATTCACGCGCTTTTTGGGCAGTTGGAGGCAAAATCGACCGAAATCGTGGGCGCCGAACTTTTCTTCGCGCACGAACCAAGCCGAAAAGGCTCTAGTATGTGTATTTGAACATGGACCACTCGAATATGCAATACAATTCAGGTTGTTGAATGCTTTTCCCTACGCCTATAGGGATTTACGCGCTTTCTAGGCACTTGGCGGCAAAAACGGCCAAAATCGTAAGCGCCGAACTTTTCTTTGCGCAAGAACCAAGCTAAAAAGGCTCTAGTATGTGTATTTGAACATGGGCCACTCGAATATGCAATGAAATTCAGGTTGTTGAATGCTTTTCTCTACGCCTATAGGGATTCACGCGCTTTTTAGGCACTTGGCGGCAAAATCGGCCGAAATCGTAAGCGCCGAACTTTTCTTCGCGCACGAACCAAGCCGAAAAGGCTCTAGTATGTGTATTTGAACATGGACCACTCGAATATGCAATACAATTCAGGTTGTTGAATGCTTTTCCCTACGCCTATAGGGATTTACGCGCTTTCTAGGCACTTGGCGGCAAAAACGGCCGAAATCGTAAGCGCCGAACTTTTCTTTGCGCAAGAACCAAGCTAAAAAGGCTCTAGTATGTGTATTTGAACATGGGCCACTCGAATATGCAATAAAATTCAGGTTGTTGAATGCTTTTCCCTACGCCTATAGGGATTCACGCGCTTTCTAGGCACTTGGCTGCAAAAACGGCCGAAATCGTAAGCGCCGAACTTTTCTTCACGCAAGAACCAAGCTGAAAAGGCTCTAGTATGTGTATTTGAACATGGGCCACTCGAATATGCAATAAAACTCAAGTCGTTGAATGCTTTTCCCTACGCCTAAAGGGATTCACGCGCTTTCTAAGCACTAGGCGGCTAAAACGGCCGAAATCGTGGGCGCCGAACTTTTCTTCGCGCAAGAACCAAGCTAAAAATGCTCTAGTATGTGTATTTGAACATGGGCTACTCGAATATGCAATAAAATTCATGTTGTTGAATGCTTTTCCCTACGCCTATAAAGATTAACGCACTTTCTAGGCACTTGGTGGCAAAAACGGCCGAAATCGTAGACGCCGAACTTTTCTTCGCGCAAGAATCAAGCTGAAAAGGATCTAGTATGTGTATTCAAACATGGGCCACTCGAATATGCAATAACATTCAGGTTCTTGGATGCTTTTTCCTACGCCTATAGGGATTCAAGCGCTTTCTAGGCACTTGGTGGCAAAAACGGCCGAAATCGTGGGCGCCGAACTTTTTTTCGCGCAAGAACCAAGCCGAAAAGGCTGTAGTATGTGTATTTGAACATGGGCCACTCGAATATGCAATGAAATTCAGGTTGTTGAATGGTTTTCCCTACGCCTATAGGGATTCACGCACTTTCTAGGCACTTGGCTGCAAAAACGGCCGAAATCGTGGGCGCCGAACTTTTCTTCGCGCAAGAACCAAGTTGAAAATGCTCTAGTATGTGTATTTGAACATGGACCACTCGAATATGCAATAAAATTCAGGTTGTTGAATGCTTTTCCATACGCTTATAAGGATTCACGCGCTTTCTAGGCACTTGGCGGCAAAAACGGCCGAAATCGTAAGCGCCGAACTTTTCTTCGCGCAAGAACCAAGCTGAAAAGGCTCTAGTATGTGTATTTGAACATGGGCCACTGGAATATGCAATAAAATTCAGGTTGTTGAATGCTTTTCCCTACGCCTATAGGGATTCACACGCTTTCTAGGCACTTGGCGGCAAAAACGGCCGAAATCGTAAGCGCCGAACTTTTCTTCGCGCAAGAACCAAGCTGAAAAGGCTCTAGTATGTGTATT